GGGGGGGTTACCACAAAAGAACAAAATAGGTCTTTCTTATATTAGTAAGGCTGAAATATTCTGAACCAAAAGGCTTGTGCAATCTGGCTACATTGTGCATATTATCTGCATACTGACAAGCCATTTCTCTGTATTATAAAATACATTTATCTTCAGGTGAATCTGAGAAAGAAGTGAATATCTTTTTATTGTCACTATACTCATGTACAATGAGATTAAAAGCAACTCTTAATAGGGCTGGGCCATATCATACCGTTCACGGTAATACCGGTATAATGTCGGGCAACGATAAGAGAATGAAATATTGTGATAAAATATGGGTAAAACGCACATGCGCAGTGCCTTTCTTTTCATACGCACATGGCAGAATGGTGGCGACGGAGAATGAGGAGGGTGAAAGCGGATCGTTGAATGAAACGGATGAACCAGAATTGGTTTGTAAAAATGCTGCAACTTCAGTGGTGTGGAACTGGTTTTGCTTCCGTCCGTCAGATACACAACAAAGCACTATTTTTGGTAGAGCATGCTAGTGGGCCGTCGTTATTACCGTGTTTTTTGGAAAATACAGCACACTTAAAATCAATCCTTTGATTTTCCTTAAAATCGACAGTGCCCCTTATAATCCCGTGTGCCTTATGTATGAATTCTGGTTGTGTTTACTGACCTCGAAATGATTTTATGTGGTACGCGGTGCTCGAAAATCTGCACCGCACCGCTTGATGGATTGTCGGAGCATTACGGCTATCGTAGGCAGGAGCCTCGCGGAGTGATACGTACTGTGCTTCAACATAATGTTACCTTATTGTGTGTGTATAACTTCTTTTTAAGTTCTGTGGATATTATACATGGTTATGCTGAGGATATGTCGGCCAATTTCCACTGGAAATGCTTTTTGGTTAAACTGTCAGCAAGGAATTTGCATTTGCACTGCAAATTTTTATATAACTTTAATGCACATAAAAAAAAGCTGCTTGTTTAAGTGAAAATACGTTGATGTTTGGTTTTTTTGCACTAATAAAGTTGTGGAGTTGTAAAGTATTTTGTCTAGTGTCAATTAGATCGTCAGTTATATCGTTATTGCAAATTTTCAAATGTATGTCGTGATAAATATTTTTGGTCATATCGCCCTGCTCTAACTCCTAACTCCTGCAGAGGGGAAGGAGTTGTGCACAGTTCTGCGGTGCTGTATACATTTTCAAGAATAAATAAGGATTTTATATACGGTGTGGGTTATAGCATGTATTTAATATTGCATAGTAATGATGATCAAATGCAGTGGGTAGCAGATATTTGGACAGAGAGAGTAATGGTATTGCACAGTACACATATTATACAGTACTTTCACAAGCATTCAACAGATTAAATATTGCATAGTCTGTCTATAGAGGGAAGTCCTTTGGTTGGCGGGTTAGACCAGCGGTCCCCAACCTTTTTTGCTCTACGGACCGGTTTGTGTCCGACAATATTTTCACGGACCAGTCTTTAAGGTGTTGCAGATAAATACAATAAAATAAAACCAGTACCGGTACCAAAAAACAGAAGATTTATTCATAACACATGGGAAAAGACCCAGGGAAATCGAGTTAACGATAAAAACGATTAAAAAAATAACACTGAAAAACGATAAAAACCATAAATTTCACACCCGAGCCTCAACTCTCGCGGCCCGGTACCAAATGACTCGTCAGCACCCGGGAGTTGAGGACCACTGGGTTAGACTGTGTAGTCAGTGCATGTATGAGCTCAGGGTGGTTATGGCTTTGGAAAAAGCTGTTCCTGAGTTTGTTAGGTTTTGTACTGATGCACTTGTAGCATGTCCTCGAGGAGAGCAGGTTGAACAGGTCAAAACCAGGGTGGGAGCTGTTCTTGATGATGTTTGTTGCTCTGCTGAGACAGCAGGGCGGGGGGTGGGGTATAAATGTCCACCAGTGAGGGGAGAGGGCAGCTGAAGCCTCTCCCTGTCTGCCATGATGCACCTGCCGTACCATACAGTATGTCAGCAGGTTCTTGATGGATGAGCAGTAGAAGGTCAGTAGCAGGTTGTGCTTCCTGAGGACCTTCGTGAAGTTCTTGACCAATGCTGTGGTGCTGTTTGTCCATCTCAGCAGAGATGAGGACGCAGAGAAACGGAAGATGTGGACCCTTTCCCCACACTCGCCATTGATGTACAAGGCGGCTAAGTGGGTGCTGTGTAGGGACGGGTACCGGTATCTGACATAAACGGTAGTAACCAGACCGAAAAGCAGCGCACATTTCGGTGCTTTATTTCGGTGCTTTTTTTTCCTGAGCTGTGATACACTTTAGATTCTAACCAATCATTTTACGTTTCCGAGGACAGTAGGCGGGCCCAGGTACGTACGTTCTTGTAGAGCAGAGCTACAGATTAAAAATACCCAAGGCGAAGCGGTCAAAAGTCTGGCTGTACTTCACAGCAAAAGATGCAAACTCAGCAGCCTGCAACAAGTGCTTTAAGCTGATACTGTGATACTGTCAAAGGAGGTAACACCTCAAATCCGATGAAACACCTGGCGACGCATAGCATTTTTTTTAAAAGCCAAGAAATGTGCCGTATTTGATAGCTTGCTGCGAGACCTCACACCAAGCACATCTACTGCGGGTGTGGTGCCTGTTATCTGACCCGGAGTTAGCAACATCCCCCAAAAACCGGAGGAGTAGAGTCCTGGCCCCTAGCCCTGCCAGTGTAGCAGAAATGATGACGGATGATGATGGCAGCAGCAGCCGTTCTTCTCTGCGTGAGTAGCTTAATGTTGTTCGTGTGTAATTTACGTTGAGTAGGCTAACCACGTTACTACATTAATGCATGTAAGGTGAACTAGCAAACATCATCATAGCTACATGCGGCTGTCTTCTTGTTTGATGGCAGATACTCCCTTCACCCTGGCCATAAAGGCTAAAATGACCAAAGAAAAAGTGGAAAACAGTTAAACATGAGAAGTTTTTGGACAAAGGTTGTGTTTTTTCCATTGTTTAAGCACTGCTTCCAACCAAGAGTGATACCATATATGCCCCATAGCTGCAGAAAAGGCTAACATTGTTATCTTTTTACAAAAAAACAGCCGAACATGAGAGGTTTTTGGACCAATTTTGTGTTCTCCATTCTTTAAGCACCGGTTTGAGCACGGTGCTTAAACGGTAGTATCGGTAGTACCGGTTTCGCACCGGTATCGGATAAAACCTAAACGATACCCATCCCTAGTGCTGTGCCTCCTGAATATACAAGGATCTCCTTGATTTTCTTGGTGTTCAGTGCCAGGTGGCTTTCGGAACACCAGGCTGCCACCTGCAGGACTTTCTCTTTGTAGGCTGCCTCGTCTCTCTTTGAGATGAGTCCAGTAACTGTAGTGAGAAAAATATTACTGCCAGCTTTGCTCGTGCACGTAACTCCCACACCTGTCTCCACCTAGTGGGTGTGTTTACTTAGGTTTCAATATTTTATCTCTTTTATCAAGTGTCTATTTCGGTTTTGAGTGTGCTTTTTTGAAACAGGAATTATTTTTATTGACGGAGGATCCAATTATTAAATGTTGCTGTATCCTACTACAGAGAAGCCTTAATAAAGGAAGACCTACTTGTTTTTTTAGACAATGATCTAAAAAGTAAATTTTGTTCGTTAGAAGCAGCCTTGTTGGATTTGTTTTTTAACTTGGTAAACGGAGAATAAAGCCTTTTCATGTCTAATTGTGGAGTGGAAGACCTATTTGGTTTTTGCATGTTAGAAGTTGCTTTGTTGGATTTGTTTTACCTTGGGAAAACATAATGTGACTCTTTGACTGTGACTGTTTAAACAGCATGTCTTTTTCTCAAGTAAAATGTCCTTTTTATGGTTGTTTACTTCACCTGTTCTGGTTGTGAGCTTTGCATGAAATACTGAGGATCATGCGGGAAAATATACAAGAAGATAAAAAAAAGAAAAAACAGAATACATATGTGCAGCGTGTGTAAACTCTGTGCAGAGCACATGCTACCCAGTGACATGGCTCATGAGTGTTTTATTCATCCTACTGAAATGAAAAAACCTCGTTAAATTACATAATATATAATTTTGAGACCAGGTATCCCTGCTTTAAGCATGAGGCCAGTTTTGTCACGGCTAGCAGAGTGAGCTATGTGGAGGAATGAACCAGGACCCAAATGCAGGCTATCATGAACCAAGCTGCCAGGAACACACAGGCACAAATGTAATCTTCCAAAAAAATGGGTTTTATT